TTGACTATGTCTCTGATGACGAATCCGCGACGGATCTCGAAACGTCAGGCTAGTAAAAGTATTGTCCCAGCGATCGAGTCGTCTTCTTCTCGTTTGCACGTTTCCCTAAGGTCTATTCATTTTGACAGCAATCCATCACTCTGTGCCTTAGGTATAGCCTTCTGTCCATAGGGACTAGAATTAAGGAAGAGGTATATATTGACCGTTTTTCGAAACAGCCGATGGCTTTGGTCTCAATGTACTAATATTTTATCTTATTGTAAATACTGGCGCAAATATTGGCCCAGTGTTTGAGGACTAGGTTCCGCTTAAGACGCGGGTGTAGTCTTATCGTGATAATGATAGTGCTAATGATGAGTTCGCTGAACTGCTATCCAGTACCACTATTCTCAGTGGAATTCCATGAGGAAATCCGGACAAATTCACGTTCTTCTGGACGACACATTTTCTATACAGGAAACAGATATCGAGATAAGAGCTTAAACTCAGTAAGTTCAACTACATGTCCATGAAGCCGTAGAAAAAAATAAATAAAATTAATGTGGCGAATTCCAAACTAAAAATGGACGTAAAGCTACAAAGATGTGCGCATTTACTAAGATTATTCCGCTAAAATCACGCCATACAAAGGGTCTCACACACCAGATATGTGTTCGTCCAATCCTTGTACATTTCCTTTGACTTCTCCTTCATCTCTTCCCGAGCCTGACGGATCTTTTCTTGTTCCTTCGCCTTGAGCTCCTCGGCATGCATTCGTACATGTAACATTTTCCATTCATCCTGCGTGAAGACCTTGATCAATCCGACGTCGGTTTCGCATCTTGGGTCGTTTGGCGGATACTTCCGCCCTTTGTTTTGCAGATTTACTAAATTTATAAGAAAAAGTCGATATAGAAAAGTGTTCGGTTCGCCAATAAGAGGACGGGTGACACTGGTTTCATGGATGTTATACAACATTACGAAAAGAAGCAGCAGAAGGTAAAGCTTGGTCCAAAGAACCAGGGGCGGTCTTTTCACATGCAAAATTCAGTTAGGTACAACATTTTATGTATTGTAAACTTTCGACAGAAAGACCCACGATTGCAGGCGATAATACAAACTCGCTAGTCAAGCGACTAACTATCTTTAGTTTTTTTTAAATGTGCATCTCAACCTGAAAAAAAATATATGAGAAGAATGCCGATTGCGCTCCGTTATCTCATCTGTTTGTATCCACCAAAGCCACCCTTACGCGTTCCCCTACAAGCTTGCCCGAAATTAGTGAATGTGTGTGTTTTACATAGTCGGCGCAGTCAAATTAAATAGAACGCATATAAATTAAATGAGCATATATCGTTCGTCCTCGAATTTGAGTTATTAAGCTAAAGTTTGATGGATGTATCCTCGAAAAATTATCATTCTCACATGCATCGCTTACTTATATCGGAAAAACTACCTACTACATTGAAGTTTTGGGTTATACATGCATACAGTAGACTTCCTATATCGTTAAATGTCAGTCGAGATCCTAGAATGTGTCTTAGATTCGAGCAAATTACTTAAGTGAGGTTGTAATATTTATTATGGTGCAACAGAATCCCCAGATATCTTAGTCACGTCAGAAAACCAGCTTTTGAACTGGCTTCTTTCTGAGCAGCTATAAAAATATTCTGTGGAAAATCCCTGTTTAGGTAATAGCAATTTTCATTGACTTTTGACGGCCTTATAAATCCAAACAAACGTAATAGAAAATATGAAAAAATACCCTTTCTTGTATTTGTTGGATAGCATCTTTCGGTATTAAAATGTTTTTGATTATGAGATTTTGTAAGATTGTGAAATCTCCATTAATAAACCATCGTATCTTTCGATTTATTGATACTTTCTATAAAGTTTACAATATGCTCAATTTTATGAGAACTATAGTTAAGGTGACCACATCCATTTCTGACACATTTAATGCAAGTTTAAATGTTGATGGAAACAATTTAATTTATAAAAATTTTGCATCTGTACTTATTCTGGATTAACTCGCCATGCTTTTCTATTCCCAGGCCTTAAACATATTTATATTTAACACTGGACCAGTGATTTGCCATATCGCCATTTCTTTGATTTCGAATTTTTTGTAACTTAAATATTCCTATGCTAGTAAATAGCAATTAGTCCACTAATTTGTGTCATTTTTACTTATGGCTCTTACTATACTGCTATAATAGTTTGGGGACACTTCGCGTGCGCTGACTTCGCGCAAAATTACCTTTTGTAGTGAATCCATTATATTTCATGAGATGGTGCATCTACTGTATGTGATCTCTTTTTCATTGAGTAGAGAAATATGGGATTCTTCTTCAACAGAATGTACATAGCGCGTAGTTTAGAAGTCTTCGATGCAAATTTAGCTGCTGGAAAGGTCCAGAATATTGTAGCAGAGAATTTGAAGAAGACGTAATTTACTGCCAAACTAGTAAAAGAAGGAATATTTTCCTGCATTTGTCCTATTAAATGTATTTGAATTTATAAAGACATCGGAAATCAGCGAGAAAAATGCACACTACATAAGTGGCCGTTTTTGCAGGATAATTTTTAAAGCAGTCAACCAGATCGGTTTTCGAAAGCTGACACTGTGACACGACTGAAATATCTTGAGTCTAGGCTGCACAATAATTAATCTTATAATTCTACTTAAGTAATTTGGTCGAAACAAAAACACATTTCATGATTTTGGTTGACATTTAATATGATTAGAGATCTAATGCATATAATACAGGAAGGAATAGCCTTCGCTGTACATAATGAAACTCATCCTTAGGATTTTTTCGGTAAAATTATAGGGTCAGTAAGGGATAAACCAGCACGAAATTCTATCAGGTAATGAAAACTAAGCCAAAAATCGAGAGCAGAATACATTTTTCGTCTCATCGATCAAAGTGAAATTTTTTAGGATCATAGGAACAGATAGAACCCAAAAGTAGATGCCATCAATGAGGTCTTCGACGCTATTCTCTATAGGTGATGGTACTTTGTCATTTCAACAATCGCATTTATTCCTAACCGCCATTCCTACTCAGGTTCCAAACGTCCTCAATTTAAATATTGCTTCTAATGACCGTCCAGCCATCGGCATGTGGAATGCATGGAGAAAGCGAGACACTTAGTATTTGTTTTCAAATCGAAATTAATTGTATTTTGCAGTACAACCAATGAAAAAGTAATTTATGATGGTTGGCGAGAAATCTTCCTGTAAGCTGTTCCCGCCGGTTTTCCTGTCAGACGGAGTATGCTTATTCTGTGTCGTTCTGATGGGTGTATAGAAGTAATCAAGAAATAAGGAGGAAACTGAAAAAAATGCTTGACCTGTTAGCCATCTTAACCTAGCAGCACGCCATCTGCAGACCTGAACAGATAGTCTATTTGTGCTGTTTAGCTAGACTATGGAGACTTTACTGCCATGTTAAAATCGTGGCATCTCATTAAGCAAAATCGGGAATATGAAACCATATGGCAGTTTAGCTCCACTGCAAACCCATCGCCTGCGAATGTTCTTGATTCAATTTTAATATGAAGCAGAGGTAAGAATAATCAGCGGATAAATTACACTTAAGAATCTTTCAGATGAGACGTTGTACTAACTCTGTTAGCGGATACTTTGAGCAGCAGGATTTCATATGCCTTTATAAATGGGCTATGCAGGTGACATGGTAATAGTTGTAGCAAGGAGCATTCTATAGGAAGCAAATATTTCACGTTCTAAAAAACTCACGGATAAGTGAATGCTTGACATCTCAACGCCTATAAGACAGTACCGATCGCGACCATTTTATGTTGGGAGCGTCAATTTCCATTACGAAGGCTAGAGAAGCAG